TATCCAATGAGTCCAACTGAAATCAAGGGGCACTCAGCACTAAACATCAGGATGCTTATTTAGGAACCTTTTGTTAAAAAAAAAAAAAACTTGACCTCAACAATCAGCTGAAAATCTCTCGTAAAAACTTCTGCTTTATTCAGATTCATGATCCTCCTGCTTGAACCCAACTGCAAGTCTGGATCATAATCTTTAAATATATTCTTTGGGATGGAAAAATGTTTCTCTAGGGATACCTTTATACTACAAGTTTTCTTTGCAAAAAATATGCAAATGAGTCCCTCATTTGCATATTTTCTGCTGATTCATTTTTGCACTGGGGATTTTGCAAAAACTGATTGGTAAGCCTCCTTTTTGGGGGCATAAGGATCATGTGGGAAAACGGGTTTTTGCACAAAAATAAAACATCCACACTGCTTGTTTTTGCACAAAAACCCCAGTGCAAAAATAGATCAGCAGAAAATGTGCAAATGAAATTGCAACTCATTCAAGTGAGTCCCTCCTTTGCATATTTTTGCATAGAAAACTCCTAGTGTAGACGTAGCCTAGATGTTTGGAAAGCAACTAAGCCATTTTGAGTTACCACAATGTATGTAAATCGTAATAGGGAACTATCCCATAGAATTAAATTGGTTTGAAATCAATGAGATTCTACAGAAATTAAGACTATACAGACATTATGTTAACAATCCATTGACTATTAGGTATATGCTGATATTCTATAGGTTGGTTTAAATATCCTACAGATTGAATTCTATAGGACTTCTCCATTAGAAGAATGCAGAACCCCTTCTGACACTATAATAACCTACAGCATTCTGCTGATCTGTCAACAGATACAATGAATGACATGTATACAATAATAGATTACTTAAATAGCATTACAGAATTGAGCTCACAGTATAAAGCGCATTGTATTATTCACAGTAAAATCTGAGCCTGGCCTGCCACTTGGTTCTCCTAAGCATGGGCCCAAGACATGGTTAGAAATGATAAAGTTTACTTCAGATCCGCTGCGGTGTCTGACAACTGACACAGACATCATGCACGTGCATTGCAATGGGGTTCTTATCTTTTTGGATTCTAAACAAATTGGATAAACAAATTAATGCCACACACCCTAAATTGGCTGAACAAATTAATAGAACACGCCCTGTGTGCAAGGATGTCTTTGAAGGCCAAGGACTGCGCATGTTATAGCGAGATTTATTGTATTAAGAAGGATGTTTAAACAAATGTTTTTTGGAGAGAAGAAGCAGAGCATTGCAGCGTCATGTCAGAGCAAGGCTTTCACCAAGAACTTCCTCAGACTCCAAAGCTGCATGCTGACATTTAATTAGTAAACTCTTAAAATGGATAATTTGTATGAGCAAATGCTTCTCAATCATTTCATAATAACACAACTAGTGTTTCTTGGCACTTAGAACAAAACCATGAGCATGTTGAAATTGAGCACACAATGCCTTGTTTTGACATGGAGGAAAGTGCCAGGGAGAGAGCAGTTTGAAGCCTTCAAGCCTTGGTAGGCAACAGGGTTCACAAATCAAACCTTGCCGTTTTGTTCACAGGGGTCAGCAGGGAATCAACCCCAACCAGTTCCACCTGGAGGCTGCAGTTTATGAAATTGGATTCTCCAAGTAGAAGATCCCACTCTCCTAAAGGCCCCTGCCTCCAAAAGTCTGCAGACCTCCCTGAAGAGAACTAAGAGGTCTGTGTGTTCCTGAGAGGTGTGGGATGAGGGGATTAGCCAGAAGGAGGGATGCAGGCATCGGTGAGTCAGATTCATTAACCCTGTAATTGTGTGGACATGCTGTCTTCATGTCTGTGAAATATTTAACTCCAGCTAACTTCCAGTGGGATCGATGCAAATTCCTTGGGCAGATCTGCTGCCAGGGTTCCATGTATGTGCTCAGAGATGACCTGATCTATGCCACCAACCTTGTAGCTTCAGCGAATCTCTCATCCTCAATCACAACTACAATTGTTTTGCCTCGCCAGTGCAGCAGGAAAACTTGCTGCCTCAGCTTTCATGCTACAACCAGAACTATACTTCATGCTATTCCTCACATCTGTTATCTCCCTAGTACGTCTCCCCTCTCTCATGTTTCTTGGGTCCTGTCTAAACTATGAGATAAGATCGAATTTATTAAAGCCAATTTTAGCACCTGATTTTGTAAAGTCTAATATGCATGTTCCCCACTGTGCACAAGAATTCAACGTAGTTCAAAGCAGCACATCCTCAGTGCGGTGGCTACCTTAGACTTTGGGTAGCCCACAGTGCCTGCATTCTGGGCTATGCTCAAAACTATGCAGCAGGTGATTCTGGGTACATTATCAGTGGCCCATAATGCACTTGTTTCTTCCCTCTCCTCTTGCAATTGAAAACAGTTCATTTGCACGCTTTTTTCTCTCGCTGGTTATCTGCACAGATGCCGTGGCAGTGAAAGCGTGAACCCCCATCGTGGATCTTGTTCATAATCAAACTTTTATGATGCTGACATTAACCACTGTGTGCCTAATGCTGGAGTATGTCCAGAGCATATCCAGGGACAGCTAGAATGAGGAAGAATCTCAGGAGTCCACAACCATACTGTACTTGAGTTGAGTGAATTGCAAATGCCTTCAACATTCGATCCTCTGGACATAGTGGAACGCTGATTCTGGTGCCATGAGACAAGCACAATGCTGGTGGGACTGCATTGTGAAGCAAGTATGGGATGATCAGCAGTGGCTGAAAAACTTCCGTATGCATAAGGCCACTTTCATGGAACTTTGCAAATTGCCTTCCCCTACTTTGAAACACAAGAATACCAGAATGAGACTCATTCTGACAGCAGGAAAGTGAGTGGCAATAGCCCTGTGGACACTTGCAATACCAGACAGCTACTGCTCAGATGGGAATCAATGTGGAGTGGGTAAATCTATGGTGGGGGCTGTTGTGATCCAAGTAGCTAAGGCAATTAATACCCCTCTGCTAGTAATAACTCTGGGAAATGTGGAGGGTATAGTGAAGGGCTTTGCACAACTGGGGTTCTCTAACTGGAGTACTGTGTCCAGTTCTGGGCATCACATTTCCAGAAAGACGTGGAGAAATTGGAGAAGGTCTGGAGAAGAGCAACAAGAAAGATTAAAGAGAACATGACATATGAAAGAAGACTGAAAGAACTGGGCCTGTTTAGTTTGGAAAGGAAAAGACTAAGAGGGGACATGATAGTGGTTTTCAGGTATCTAAAAGGGTGTCACAAGGAGGAAGGAGAAAAATTCTTCTCCTTGGCATCTGAGTATAGGACAAGAAGCAATGAGCTTAAACTGCAGCATGGGAGGTTTAGGTTGGCCTTAGGAAAAACCTCCTAACTGTCAGGGTGGTTAAACACTGGAATAAGTTGCCTAGGGAGATTGTGGAATCTCCATCTTTGGAGAAGGATCTAAGGGCAGGTTAGCTAGACATCTATCTGGGATGGTCTAGACCAGGGGTGGCCAACCTGTGGCTCACAAGCCACATGCGGCTCTTCATCCCTGAAAGTGCAGCTCGCAAAGCTGCCCAATGTGCCCCCCCGCCAGGGCCCCTGTGCTCACTGGGAGCAGGGGAGCTGTCTGGCACCAGCACGATGGTGGCAGCTGACGGGAGCCTGATGTGGCCAAAAAATTTGCCAGAGGATGGTCTAGACCAGGGGTGGCCAACCTGTGGCTCACAAGCCACATGCGGCTCTTCATCCCTGAAAGTGCAGCTCGCAAAGCTGCCCAATGTGCCCCCCCGCCAGGGCCCCTGTGCTCACTGGGAGCAGGGGAGCTGTCTGGCACCAGCACGATGGTGGCAGCTGACGGGAGCCTGATGTGGCCAAAAAATTTGCCAGAGGGGGGCCTACTCCCCCCCCCCCCCCCTCAACAATTTTGGTGTGGCTCTTCACAATTTTTTCTGCCACTGTTTCGGCTTGCTTCATGTAACGGGTTAGCCACTCCTGGTCTAGACTGTACTGGGTTCTGCCATGAGGGCAGGGGACTGGGCTGGACTCAGTGACCTCTCAAGGTCCCTTCCAGATCTAGTATTCTATGATTCTATTATTCTAACTCTGGTGGGGCAATAAGTGGAATGTACATCCCAGTCTTGGCACCTGATCACCTTGCCATGGAGTACACAAACCTCAAGGGTTATTCCTTAATGATTCTGCAGGCACTGGTGGATCACAAGGCATTTCACTGACATCAGTGTGGAATGGTCGGGAAAGGTGCATGACACACACATCTTTAGGAACTCCTGCCTATTCAGCAAGCTACAATCTGGAACATTTTTCCCCAACTGGAAAATTACAATATGAGACATTGAAATGCTAATAGTAATCTTTATAGATTCAGCCTATCCCATACTCCTGTGGCTCATGATGCCATACATAGGTAGCCTGGACTGCAGTAAGAAACAGTTCAACTACAGGCTAAGCAAGTGAAGAATGGTGGTAGAATGTGCTTTTGGATGTATAAAGGAAAGGTTCCACACTGCTAACTAAGTTAGACCTCAGCAAAAGCAACATTCCCATTGTGATGGCAGCCTGCTGTGTGCTCCATAATATTTGTAAGAGCAAGGGGGAAATGCTTGAGTCACAGCACCTAGCTAGGGATTTTGAGCACCAGATACCAGGGGAATAAAGAGAGCACAGGGAGGTGCAGCACTAATCAGAGGTGCTTTGAAAGATAGTTTTATGAATGACCAGTTTTGAGAGTCATGCCTGTTGCTCTCAATGAGGTCCCCCTGCATTCAGTGTGCTCTCCAGTAACCCCCAGCCTTTCAATGCAAGCAATAACGTAGTTCACAAATCATGTGATTTTATTCATGGAACACAGAGGAGTGACAGAACAGGAGTCCAGGGTGGGAACTTCGGGGGATTGTGCTCACAACTGCTGGGACAGCCTTTTAATTTGTGACGCATACCTAGAAAACTTCAGGGGATTGTGTTCACAATTGCTGGGACAGCCTTTTAATTTGTGACGCATACCTAGAGGTTGAGTGTGAGGCTCCCCTTGACTCTCCCACCTCACATGCTAGGTCCCCTTGGAGAGTAGGCTCTAGAACTTGGGGAAGAGGGAATGTTAATCCATGAGGGCCAGAGGGAGGCCTGTCCAGGAGGGAGACCTGGAGTGCCTCCATGTTGTCCATCACATCCACCATGGATGACAGCACTTTCCTGGTGCTACAATTTCAGTTTCCTGCATGCTTTCCTTTCTTGACGCTCCATACACCTCTCCTCAAGCAGCATATTCCTCCACTTGCGTATGCGCTCCCCGTTCAAGTTGGTGGATTGCATTTGCTCATTGAACATCTCTTCCCTAGTCCATTTGTGCCAGGCAGACAGCTGGCAGGGCTGGGAGTGCTCTGCAAAAAACAAAGGGCAGACTTTACAGGAGATGCATTGTAAAGTGCAAAGCCTAATATGTTAGAACAAAATGTAGGTCTTCCTAAAGACAGTAGGGATGTATTATTTACAAGGACACAGTTATGCTTGTAGGTGGTCACTTCGCAGTAGGCACAGCTCAGCATTCTTAGGGGAGTAGTTGGTAAGTGGCAAGCATGGTAAGAGACAGGCCAGGGCATCAGCCTGCGGCAGGTGGGAAAAGGGGTCTTGTCATGGTGGTAGGGCAGAGGCTCATGTAGCACCCATGTGTTCGGCACCCCCCACTTGCCAGGAGAATGCAACTTCCCCTTACCGCACAAGGGAGTGGGGAGGGGCAGGAGGGCATCCGAGCGTGGCAACAGGGCAGGGGCTCAAGCCATGCTTCACTGGAGATGAGAAAATAGATGATTACTGTAGAGGCATCAGCTAATAACTTCCCCTGCTGGTTGGCTCCCCCAGGATCGCATGCAGCTGCTTGTAGAATCAGCATATTTGCAGCAATGTTCCAGACTGTCTGTTTGCCTCCTTTGTCTTTTGATGTGGTTGCCTTAGCTCCATTATTTTCACTTAGAAGTGCTGGGATTCCCTGGCGTATCCTTTCTCCTCCAAGCCCCTTGCTATCTTGGCACAGATATCTGTGTTTCTTTTACTGGTTCGTAGCTCTGCGAAAACAGGTTCTTCTCCCCCCACGGCAATGCGGTCAGACTCTCTTGCATGTGCCACGCTGGCACTCGTCTGCAACCCTGGGAACTCATGGAGCTCATGGAACTTATAGTCATGCAACTGATGGTCAGGTGTGCTTCTGCTCTGAGGTCTGCTCATCACACTGGCCACACAGGAAATGAAATTCAAATGTTCCTGGGGCTTTTCCTGTTCACCTGGAGAGCAGCAGAGCTGAAAGTCATGGCCAGACTGTCTTCATGGGGCACTTCAGAAAACCTCCCGGAGGCAAGAATGTTGACTTTCACAGCACTTCATCTGCATTACCAGAAAGCCGACCATGAAAGATCAAATTTAGCGGTTACTCCTCCTGAAAGCAGGAGTAGAGACATCAACTTTAACAGTCTTTTAAGTCGACAGAACGGGAGTGGAGGCATGGACTTAATGTGGCTAAGTTCAACCTAACCTCCCAACGTAGGCCTTGGTAAGTCCCATGTTCCTCTCTCCCGTCATGCACCTCAGTGCACTGCCTGGGATTTGTCTTGAGACTTTACATAAAGGAGGAAGCAAAAATCACCTTCACCTTGATCACCTTGATTGATCAGTACTGTGGCCCTCATATAGATTGCACCAGTCACAACACATCTTCCATTCTATTCTTATCCTGGCCTTCTTTCTCCATGTGCCACGTCTTTTGATGATAAAATCTTCTCATCTCTCAGGAAGTCATCTGAGTTGTCACTTTAGTTCCTCTGGGTACCCCTCGGCAACAGCTGTAGTCCACCAATTGTGCCCCTGACTTCACATTTTATTGTGCCTGCTTTCAACAAAATCCTGCACTACTGCAATGCCTCTAAGTGGCACAGTGCTGGCACAGTGCTGGCACTGGCATCCCTGACAGGCTACGTCTACACTGTGAGTTTTTGCGGTAGAAAATATGCGAATGAGGGACTCATTAGCATCAGTCACAATCTCATTAGCATATTTTCTGCCGTTTCTTTTTGTGCAAGGGGGTTTTGCACAAAAGGAAGCAGTGTAGCCTCTTCTGTTTTGCGCAAAACCCCCATTGTGTGCAAGATCCTTATGCTGCTCCGGGACAGGCATAAGGATTTTTTGCAAAACAGAGGTTTTGTGCAAAATGGAAGCAGCTACAGTGCTTCTTTTTGCACAAAAATGCCTTGCGCAAAAAGAAACGGCAGCAAATATGCTAATGAGATCACAACTTATGCTAATGAGTCCCTCATTCACATATTTTCTGCCACAAAAACTCACAGTGTAGATGTGGCCACAGTGACTCTAGAGGAGTATATTCTCCACACTATTAAGGTGCCAGACTGCTGTCCCAGGAAGGGGACTCTTCTCCTCCTCCCTGAGGTTAAGTGCTATCTAAACTGAGGAAGTGAACATGCTACTGGCAACATAGCTAGTGGGTGACTGAAGAAAAGGCAAAATAAAACAAAATACCCACCTAAAATATACATTTTCAGCTCACCACGCCCTGCATCTGGGACTATTGCTGTTGTATTGAAGCAGTAATATAAGGATACTAAAGTAAATGAGATTTAATGTGTCTAAAATCTCTAGGTTTTGCAAGCAGGAATTGCAATCCAGTCCTAACAACACATGGTTAATATTTCTTCCTTCCTCAGGACCAATCCGCCAAATGCCTCTATTATACTTAGCCCGCCTGCTATCAGCTGAATCTCTCTGACTCCTGTTGTAAGGAAGTAGTCACAATTGGGTTAACACCCTCCTCCTTTTTACCAGTGTGTTTTCCCCACACTGATGTGATACAATTAAGGAAAGCGGCATGTTCCCAACCTGCACTCCCATGACTTTTTTTTGTTTCACTGAATGGTCCCTTTAAAATATCTACCTCTCCAGGTGGAAGCATCTTTTTAAAGACAGCGTGTCCCAACTTAATGCAAAATTATTTTCATTGTATGGACTAAAACCCTGGCATCTTTCCCACTTTCTATTTCATCACCCCTTCACTAGTTCCTCCTTCCTGTTCCCACTAGTAGCCTCTTCACTCTTCCATCCACCCATTCTCTTACCTTTCTGCTCCTCTCTCCCCTAACCCATTGCTCCCCTCCTTCCCTTTGCATCACGCAGTCCTCACCAGTTGTATGGTTGCCAATCCCCCTTCCCCTCCTTCCCTTTGCATCACCAGTTGTATGGTTGCCAATCCCCCAGGATTGTCCTGGAGTTTCCAGGAATTAACGATTAATCTTAGATGAAACCTCCAGGAATATGTCCAGCTAGGAATTAACGATCAATCTTAGATGAAACCTCCAGGAATATGTCCAGCCAAAACTGGAAACCCTAACCAGCTGGTGCAACCATTCCCTCAGGCACTTTCTTCCAGTTCCCACCTATTCTCCACCCTGCCAGCAGTTTCTTTCCTATTTCATACGTATGTCTCCCCACCGTTTTATGTCTGTTACTACTTTATGGCAGAGACAAGGCACAGGAAAATGTCCCAAAGAAACTAGCAAGGAGCATGCTGATTTCAGTGGTGCAGAATCAGATGTGTATTTGGCTCCCCTGGTTGTCTAATGGATGTATAGCATACGTGCCAGTAGGTGCAATGTTTGTTCAGACATTTTGCACATTTAGGCTTTTTATCCTAGCCTATCTATCATCACAGTTCACACCTGGCCCACTACAGTGTCCCAGTTTTCTCTCCAAAAATTGCCATTTCAACTTTGCCATCATCTTGGTAGCTTACCTAGTCAGAGGGGAGGAGAAAATGTATGGTATCCTTGACAGGTCAGCCAGGAATTTCTGGTCCCCTTCTTCCCCAGGGACCCAGCCTGTAAGCTCTGTAATGCATTTAACCTCTGTCATGTCAGGGAGAAGGACTCTCCAGAAGTGGCTTATTCCCACTCCACCCCAAAGCCAGCGCATATGTTTTATTTTATTTTTATAATGTTTGATAAATTACATTCCACCCTTTAAAAATTACTGTGGTTAATATACGGCTGCTAAAGAGTTGTTTATAGTTCACATAACTCTGTTCTAGCTTGAATTTCATAACATTAATAAAGGTGGTAAATCTCCCTGGGTTAATAGCATAACTTGTTTTTGCATATTTAGACTTGCTTGTATTTGTAAATTTCTCCTGCTGCATTACAAAGTATGGGCCAGTTTCTGATCTGTTACACCACACAAAATTGGTGAAGGTCAAAGGAGATTAGGATCTAGACCTTAGAAACTAGCTGTTTACTAGAGAAATTAGTTTTTCTAATAAAGCATTCTCAATTCTTTTAAACATCTAGTTTTTTCAATACATCTACAAGCAAGAATTTTTTTTGAGTCTCTGCTTCATTTTCATTGTAGCAATCTAATTTTTAAAGACAAGTTCATTTTTTCTACAGTCCTCAGAGGTTTAAACTAAATTTGAAAAAGGCCATATTCCATGGCTCCTGGTAGTTGCTTCAGTAGTGAACCCAGCTGCTCAAGAGCAAATGCTTAAAGACCATTTGTTCAAGCAAAGCCATAGCTAGTACTGTGTGGCCAGAGCTGGACAAATACTAAGAAGATTATTTGAGACATTCATTCATATTTTTTAACCAATTCACTTTCTCGTCCCTTTTGTGTTTGCTTTCCCCACTATTCAGTGTGCAAGTCAAGCCTGTTCACCCATGCTATGATTTATAAGTGAATATGATAGTAATGATAGCAAATTTTGAATTTTCCATGTATTTACACATGGAAAAAAACATGAAAATGTTGTTTTTCACGGAATTTTTACTCTGAAAATCAATGAAATGTACAATTTGTTTTTCACGGAATAGCTATTTTTACTCTGAAAATCAATGAAATGTACAATGTCACATGTTTTGAATAAATTGAATTTATTCCAAAAGAAATTTGAAATTCTATCGTTCTGTACTTTAGAAATAAAAAAATGCTTCTGTATTGTTTTGCTTTTTCCACAAAACTTTACAAATTTTACAAACATTAACTAATTAATCCTGTAGCTCTGTATGGTATAGTAGGTAGATATCATTAGTTCCACTGTGCAAAAGCTGAGGCATGATTTACACAAAGCCGCCAGGGGAGTCTGAGGCACTGTCTACACTTACTGGGAGATGGGCACTGTGGGGATCCATCTCTCAAAGGTCAATTTAGCAAGTCTAGTAAAGACCCACTAAATCAACTGCTGATCACATTCCCGTTGACTCTGGTACTTCACCGGATCAAGAATGGGAGTGTAGACATGGATTGAATCAGGATTGGAACACAGGTGATTTTGTGTTTAGGACCCATATCAGAACTTAACTGGTTCAGGTAACACCTTGGTTAAAAATTGTTG